AACACATGACTTCTGAGGAGAGGCTGAGGGAACTGGGATTGTTTAGTCTGCAGAAGAGAAGAGTGAGGGGGGATTTGATAGCAGCCTTCAACTACCTGAAGGGGGATTCCAGAGAGGATGGAGCTTGGCTGGTGTCCGTGGTGGCAGATGACAGAACGAGGAGCAATGGTCTCAAGTTGCAGTGGGGGAGGTTTAGATTGGATATTAGGAAACACTATTTCACTAGGAGGGTGGTGAAGCACTGGAATGCGTTACCTAGGGAGATGGTGGAATCTCCTTCCTTAGAGGTTTTTAAGGCCCAGCTTGACAAAGCCCTGGGATGATATAGTTGGGGTTGGTCCTGCTCTGGGCAAGGGGTTGGACTAGAACCTCCCACGGTCTCTTCCAACCCTGATCTTCTGTGATCATCTGGTCTGAGCTGCTCTAGGGCACAGGCCATGGAACTTCCCCCAGAATAATCCCTAGAGCAGATATTTTAAAGAAACAGCCAGTCTTGATTCTAAAATTATCAGTGATGGAGAATCCACCACGACTCTTGGGAAATTGTCCCAACAGTTAATTACTCTGACTGTTAAAAACGTACGTCTTACTTCAAGTCTGACTTTGTCTAGCTTCAAATTCCAGCCATTGGATCATGTTAGACCTTCCTCAGCTAGACTGAAGAGCCTGTTATCAAATATTGGTTCCCCACGTAGGTACTGACAGACCGGGATCAAGTCACCTCTTAACTGTCTCTTTGTTGAGCAAAACAGATGGCGTTCCTTGTGTCTCTCACTATCAGGCAGGTTTTCTAATCCTTTACTCATTCTCATGGCTCTTCTCTGCTCCCGCTCCAACTTATCAACATTCTTCTTGAATTGTGGGCACCAGAACTGGGCACTGGATCCCAGCAGTGGTTGCACCAGTGCTAGCTACAGAGGGAAAATCGCCTCTCTGCTCCTACTCGAGATTCCCTTGTTTATGTGTCCCAGGATCGCATTAGCTCTTTTGGCCACAGCATCACTGGACGCTCATGTTCTGCTGATTATCCACCATGCCCCCAAATCTTTTTCAGAGTCGCTGCTTCCCAGGATAGAGTCCCCCATCCTGTATGGCCTATGTTCTTTGTTCCTAGCTGTGTACATTTACTCATTCTGTTTCCTTGCACCCAGTTTACCAAGCAATCCTGATCTCTCTCTGCCAGTGACTTGTCCTCTTCATTATTTACCACTCCTCCTAATTTTATATCATCTGCAAACTTTATCAGTGATGGTTTTGGTTTTTTTCCACATCATTGATTAAAAAATGTAAAATAGTGTAGGGTCAAGACCTGATCCCTGCAGGACTGCGCTAGAAACACACCCGCTTGATGACAATTGTCCATTTACAATTACATTTTGTGACTTATCAGTTGGCCGGTTTTGAATCCATTTCATGTATACCATGTTAATTTTAGACTTCTAGTTTTGTAATCAAAATGTCACGCAGTACCAAGTCAAACGCCATACAGGAATAAAATATATTACATCAACGTTATTACCCTCATCAACAAAAGACATCAAGTTAGTTTGACAAGATTTTTTTCCATAAACCTGTATTGATTTGCATTAATTACATGATGCTCCTTTAATTCTTTATTAATCGAGTCCTGTATCAGCCACTCCATTATCTTGCCCGGGATCGATGTCAGGCTGACAGGCCTATAATTGCCCAGGTGATCCCATTTACCATTTTGAAAAACTGGCCCAACATTAGCTTTTTTGCTAGTCTTCTGTAACTTCCCCAGTGCTCCAAGACCTATTGAAAATCAACCTTAATGGTCCGGTGAGCTCCTCAGCCAGCTCTTTTAAAACTCTTGGATGCAAGTTTTCTGAATTTGCTGATTTAAAAATGTCCAACTTCAGTAGCTGTTGTTTAGTGTCTTCCTGAGATACCAGTGGAATGGAAAGCATGTTATTATTATCTCTATATGATGAGACTACATCATCTATTTTTTACTCCAAACACAGAACAGAAATATTTATTGAACACTTCTGCCTTTTCTGCATTTTTAGTGATAATTCTATCATTTCCATCTAGCAATGGACCGATTCCATTGTCAGGATTCTTTTTGTTCCTAATATGTTTTTAAAAACCTCCTTCTTATTGTCCTTAACTCTGCTGGCCGTAGATTTCTCCTTGTGTCCCTTGGCTTCCCTTATCAATTTTCTACAATTCCTAACTTCTGATTAATAGTTATTACTGTCAGTGTCCCCTTTTTCCCATTTGTTATATATATATATATATAGGTTCCTACAATTGATTCCATTTGTTATATATATATATATATATATATATATATATATAGGTTCCTACAATTGATTCTCCTAGGCTTTGTCCAGCCCGGTCTTAAGATGTCCCAAGTGAGGGGGTGCCCAACCCTTCCCAGGGAAGACTCTTCCATGCTAGGAAGAATTTCCTGATTTTCAGCCAGAGTTCATCCCCATGCACCTAATTCAAGCCTCTGGCCATCCCTGGACAGTTCCTCCCCATCCTCGCCATGTGCATCCTTTTGTGGGTGTAGATGGCACCCCGTCCCCTGGGTCATCTCTTAACCGGTCAGGACATTTTTCATTCTTTCCCTCTAAGTCAGTCGCCCCGACTGAGCCCTGTGGATGATGGGTCCGTTCCATCAACGTGCGACGTTTGCGCTCTGCGTCTTTCCCCTTGCAGAGGGACACTCTTGGCTTGGCTTGGAAGAGGAGGCTGTGTGAGGGCAGGGTGATTGTTCCATCCCCGCTAGCCCTCAACCTATTTCCCACCATCCGCACTCCCCTGCAAGCAGACACCTGAGAAGACAGAAGGGGTCTGCTCTGCGTTCAGAAATCCAGTGGGCTCCATGTTGGGCAAAGCACAGAGACGAGGGCCCCCGGATGAGATTCCCTTGCACCCAGATGTTCCCAACGAGGGGCTCCTCTTCCCAATGCCGTGGGAGAAGAGCCTTTTCTCCAAGAACAGGAACCCACAGCAACAAGGACTTCAAAGGACACCGGGAATTGGTCCTGGAAGAGAACTGGAAACCAAGGCGCTCAGCAGAGCCCTAGGACAGCTAATGGGCCAGACATGAGCTCTGGCCCAAACTCGCAAGCTTGAAAGGACAGCGTTTGCTCTGGGGCTGCGTGGTGGCACCATGGCTGTTGGCTCCTGCGGTGCACCTGGACCACCAGGAGCTCAGCCTGGGGCCCGGGGGGTCAGATGCTGAGGGGCGAGGCTTGGCGTGGCTGTTAGGAAAAGGGTTGGCAAGCAGGGCCCTCGTCCAGGTGAGGTGGTTATTGCGGGGCAGGCCCAGGGGCCACAAATCAGAGACCGTGATTGGGGGGGAGGTTTGCAGGGTCCTGTGCAGATGTCCAGGGGACTCTGAGAGCTCCCCACAAAGGTGTTCTAGCAGAAGGAAAGGCCTTGGGGCCGCTCTAGCCTCAGCCTCCCGGGGAGGAAGGTGGCTTGGCTGCTGGACTGGCTCACAGGAGACCCAGGTTCAATTCCTGGCTCCTTCACGCCCTTCCTCTGTGAGTTTGGGCAAGGTCACCCTGTGCCTCGGTTTCCCCTCAGCACACTGGGGATAACCCTGCCCTGCAGCACAAGAGTGTGTGAGCGTCTGCATCACCCCTAGGTGTGAGGCGCTCAGGGGCTGGTACCTGGCTGGAAGAGGGCACCTTCCGAGAAGGTTAAGGACCAAATGGTTCCAATGCGGGATGCCCTCCTGGGCGGGACGGGGGGAGGTCCTATGAAAACGTGGCTCCCTGGGGCTGAAGACAAGCCATTCCCAGCATTTCTATAGGGCCTACACAAAATATGCTTCTGCGCTCCCTTTCCTGCTGCCCCTATAGTCGTGAGCTGAGCCCCAGCTGCTAAGAGAGCGCGAGGTGCAGGCCGTGTATTAAAATCTCTTTGCCCCAGTGTCCCCCAGGATGACGGCGTCCAGCCTGGGCTCTCCTCAGTTGCTCACAGGAGTACTACACGTCAGGGCACCGCTGGGCAGGAAGCGGATCCACGCCGGACTCGCGAGGAGACTTGGGAGCGGAGGCTGGGCAGGGGGGCCGCGGCTGGTGATCGCTGGTTATTTGGACTAGGCTGGCACCTCACAGAGCCCCGGGCTGAGAGACGGGCCCTGCCCTACGTCAGATTAGTGACCCTGGTAGGCTGGCAGGCTCAGCCCAGCCGGGGTGGGAATAGAGCTCAGCTGGGCTGGATCCAGACTGGGCAGGGCTGGTTACTTGCACGGAGGGGCGGGGCAGAAATTCAACAGGCCCAAGGTATCAGTTCTACTGTAGCTACCAAGGTGCGCCAGGGCCGGGCAGCCGGGGGAGGAGGTACAGACAGCCAGGCCAGGGCACAGAGATGCCAGCTGTATCCCTGCTGATCTCCATCCTCTTTCAGGGGGGCACCGCGGGGTGGGTCTCCGGTGGGTGGCTTCCTGCCACGCCTAGCTCTGCTCCTTCCCTGGTGGAATGGGGCTGAAGGGACAGAGACAGCAGGACTTTGCTGGGGAGCGGGGATTTGGGGGTTCCCGGGGTGGCACCTCACATCCCCTGCCTGCAGGTCCCCCCCGAGAGCCCAGAGCAGGGGGAAGGGCAGTGCCGGAGGCAGGTGGATGGCAGACCCCCTCCTCCATCACCGCCTGACCCTAACGCTCCGGTGCCCTTTGTGTCTTCCCTCCTGGCTCCTGGGCCCCTTTCCCTGGCACAGGGCTGCTCCCCCATCACTGGGCGTTTCTTCCCCGACCCCCACCTCTCCCTGCCCCGTCCCCTGCCCTGGCTCTTCCGGGTCCGCTCGGGGCAGCTCCTTTGCAATTAGAGACTGAGACTAAGAGGGAGTCCGACTCCATAACCTCCATTCTCCTCTTCCTCCTCCTCCTCTTCCTCTTCTCCTCCCGTCCCCCGCGCCCCCCCCATCATCCTCCCTCTCACCTCCCGCCCCCCACCAGCCTGCCTGGTTGTTGCCACTCACCATGAACTAACACGCCCCCTGGTGTTTGCATGCAGTCATTGCATCCAGCAGATCCTGGAGGCTGTTCTCCATTGCCACCAAATGGGGGTCGTCCACAGAGACCTCAAGGTGAGTTTTCTACCCCGCTGCTCTGTCCGTCTGTCCGTCCGTCCATCTTTGTACCCTGTGCATGTTTCTGAGCGAGAACTGGAGCGGTTCAAGCCCCGCGCCGCGGCAGGGGCCTGTGGGAAAGGGGCCGGCGCAGGGGGCCCAATCAGAAATCAGCTCGGCTCGGCTCAGCCATGGGGACCCGCCGGCCAGACCCTGCCCAGAAGGGGGGACAGAGCGCCCTGTTGGCACCTCCAGGCACTTGGGGAGGCGGGGCGGGGGTTGGGGTTTGTCGCCACCCAGAGGCGAAACCGGGAGCTGCTGCTGTCTAGCCGCCGGCCACGTGGAGAATTCCTGGGAGAGAAGATACCGTGCTGAGGGGGTGATGGGGCGGCAAGGGAGCCGGCCCTTTAACCGGGGGATACAGCTGGCCTCTCACAGCCACCTCCTGGTGCTGGAGCAGGCAGCGGGCTCTTTACCCCTCTCCCGGCACCCAGGCCCCGCGTAGATCGGTGCAGTGGGTCACCCGCTGGGTGCCCCCACGGCTCACGCTGCCCCTTGGTATCGGACAGGCGCCCAGCCCCGGTTGCTCGGAAGGATTCGTTCTGCTCAGCACGGCCTGGCTAATCTGAGTTGCTTCCTGTGGCCGCTGCCTGGCACCAGCGTGTGACCGGGGCTGGGGGGCCAGGAAGCAAATGGCCGATGAGATCAGTTCCCCAGCCGGCCTCTTCCTCTCTTTTCGCCCTCCCCTGTGCCTCGTGCAACCTCCCTCCCTGCCCCGAGGCGGCACCTGCGGGCAGGCGGGACTCCTGCGGAGGAAGGCGCTCGCCAGCTGTCTGCATGCCCTGTGTCTGGTTTGACCCTGTTGCCTGTTCTCTGTGACGCCCGCTGTCGGCTGCTTGTCTTCCGTCTGCCCCTCATAGAAAGCCCCTGGGCGTCGTAAATCGCGCTGGGCCTCCAAGCGTGAGGAGCAGGGACGTGGTCTCGCGTGGCCGAGTGGGGCTGGGATAAAGGGGTGCGTATGTGTCTATGACAGACCCAGAAACAGCGCTGTGAAATTAACGGGGGGTGGTGGGGGTGTAGACCTGGTGTAGACCCTGGGGTTCCCCCTCCTCTGCTGTGGCCCACCTTCCCCGTCCAGGCTTTGTTCAGCTGTTCCTTGCCCCTTCAGTGACACACCAAGCTTTTCCGGGAGGCTCCTGCCCCCTGTGAGTCGGCTGAGGCCAGCTGGGGTCCCCAAGGCCACAGAACCGCTCTGGGGTGTCCCTACAGAGCGTCCCCTGCAAACCCGGGAAATGTTACTGGGCAAAGATGACGTTCCCCGGGAGCTTGTGGCTGTCTGTGTCCTGCCTGGCGAGGGGGGCAGGGCAGGACATTTTCATGGCTGGGCTCTGGTGCACAGGGTCATGCTGTAACGGGGTGATGGAGCCAGGCCCTGGTCATGCCTTAAGGTACTAGTTGAGCCAGAGTCTGGTGCCTGGAGTCATGCTGGAACGGGGTTACGTAGTTGGGCCTTCACTTGTGGGGTTCTACTGTAATAAGGCGATGGAGCTGGGCTCTCGCCTGTGGAGTTGGGTCGTACTGGGGCGATGGAGCTGGGCTCTTGCCTGTGGAGTCGGGTCGTACTGGGGCGATGGAGTTGGGCCGTACTGGGGCGATGGAGCTGGGCTCTCGCCTGTGGAGTTGGGTCGTACTGGGGCGATGGAGCTGGGCTCTTGCCTGTGGAGTCAGGTCATACTGGGGCGATGGAGTTGGGCCATACTGGGGCGATGGAGCTGGGCTCTTGCCTGTGGAGTTGGGTCGTACTGGGGCGATGGAGCTGGGCTCTTGCCTGTGGAGTCGGGTCGTACTGGGGCGATGGAGTTGGGCCGTACTGGGGCGATGGAGCTGGGCTCTCGCCTGTGGAGTTGGGCCGTACTGGGGCGATGGAGCTGGGCTCTTGCCTGTGGAGTCGGGTCGTACTGGGGCGATGGAGTTGGGCCGTACTGGGGCGATGGAGCTGGGCTCTCGCCTGTGGAGTTGGGCCATACTGGGGCGATGGAGCTGGGCTCTTGCCTGTGGAGTCGGGTCGTACTGGGGCGATGGAGTTGGGCCGTACTGGGGCGATGGAGCTGGGCTCTCGCCTGTGGAGTTGGGCTGTACTGGGGCGATGGAGCTTGGTTCTGGCTCCTGGAGACATGCCATAACGGGGTGATGGAGCTGGCCTGTCACATGAGGCATTGGGCTCTAACAGGGCGATGGAGCCGGGCTCTCAAAGGCGGAGTCATGTTGTCATGAGGTGGTGGAGCTGGGCTCTTGGACATTGAATTGTGCTGCGTCAGGATGATGGGGCTTGATTCTGGCACATGGATAGCGGGTAGCTAGAGCAGGGCACTCAAACAAGGGGTCGAACCATAGCAAACTGATGGAGCTGAATGCTGGTGCCTTGAGCCATGCCACCATGGGATGATGGAGCTGGTCTCTGGCGCATGGAATGGCTGTAACAGCCTGATGGAGCCAGGCTGTTGCATGTGGCGTCCTGTCCTAATGGGATAGTGCAGCTAGGCGCTTTCACCTGGAGTCCTGCTGAAACAGGGTGATGGAGCTGGAGCGGGTGCCTGGAGTCCTGCCGTGATAGGTGATGGAGCCGGGCTGTGGCTCGTGCCGTCCTGCTGTCACGAGGTGACGAAGTTGGGCTCTTGTGCCTGGAGCTGGGGCGTGGGATCATCGCGGAGCGGGGAGGTGCAGCGGCGTCGTGCCGCGGCAAGGAGATGGAGCTGGGCTCGAGGGAATGGAATTGCGTTCTGGGAGTTGGAGCGGATCCCGGGGCCGGGGGAGTGGACGCTGGAACGTGCTGGAGTGGCACCCGGGGGAGCTGGTTTCTTGCCCGCTGTGCCATGGTGCACTGGTGAGGGCAGGGGGCTGTGTTGTACACAGTGGCATGGTGCCAGTGGGCACTCGGCTCTGGGGTGCAGCCAGTGCCATGCTGATGCAGGGGCTGGGCTGAGAAGGGGAATGGCAGCAGCCTCCTTCATAGAACAAGGAGGAGCCCAATCAGCCCTCTAGCCTCTGCCCCCTCTGGACTGGCTCCGTAAGGAGCGGCCTTTGGCCTCTAGGGGTGTCCCTTGCAATCCGGCCCCAGTGCAGGGGGTCCGGCTGGCACGGGGAGCAGGGAATGAACAAGAGGGTCTTTCCCCTCCTGGGGGCACTGGCTCGGATCACCTCCGGGTTGAGGGGACTGGCGGGTGCAGGAATGGGGTATGGCGCCTGTCACCTCTAGGGGGCATCGGCTCCGACCCAACCCCAGGGCGGGGTGTCCGGCTGGCACAGGTCTGGGGGCCCGAGGCTCTCATCTCTGTGTGGCTGGGGCTCATTCCCACCTGCTGCCTGTCTGTGTGACCTGATCTCAGGCCACGGCACTCTGGACAACGGGAAATTTTGAGACTCCCGTCCCGTCCCTGCCCCGGCAGGCAGCTGGTCCCGGCAGGGCATGGGCGGGGCTCACTGGCACAGTTATGCGGGGTCACCCCCCTGGCCAGCGCTCTTTGTCAGGGGAGGTGGGGCTGTGGTCAGATGTGTACAATCCAGCTGTTGTCCCCTGTCTCAGAGCCAGCGCTCCCGGCCCTTTGAGTAACATTTCCAGAGCTTCCTAGGGGACGTTCTGGTTTCTCTGGCTCTGCTGAGCTCCGACAGATCCATGTGGGGGGTTAGGGGCACCAGCGAACAAGCCAGGCCAGCCAACCTGGGGGGGCACCTGCTGCCGGAGACTGTGCGCCCGGGAGGCGGCGGAGAGGGGAGGCCCTTTCTGCATATGCTTGGTGAAGAGAAGCGTTGGCTTTGGGGGCTGGGGAGTCCTGGGAAGGGGGGGCTGGAAGGAGGGGCTGCTTCGGTCCCCCAGATTGCAGCCAAAGTTGGTGGTGTTTTCTTGGCTCTGAGAGCCTGTTTCGTGCCACCTACTTCTCTTGTTAGGCCAGGTACCTTGGCAGGCCATCCCGAGGGCTTTGGGACATGATGCCAATCCCAGAGGGGGAACATGGCCTCCCAGCCTGGTGGCAGAGCGCCACCAGGGTAAGTGGGCAGGCAGGGTCCCTGCTTGTCCCCCCGCACAAGCCCAGAGCAGCGTGAGCCTTTGGGTGGCTAGAATGTGCCCAGAGGCCATGCCAGATGGGCACAGCAACACAGGCCAGCACTTGCCCATGGGTCAGGAAGCTGGAGGCTGTACTGGCCTGGAATAATCCCAAAGCCAGAGCTGGGTTTCTGCCCCCCCCCCCCCCGTAATGGCAGTGGGTGTAGGGAAGGGGAGCTGGGGGTGGGCATCAGTCTGGATCCCAGCCCATCAGCCGAGAGAGCACAGGGGCTGGAAGGTACCAGCCGAGCCAGTCGGGCTGTGGGGACGCACCAACAGCCTTATCGCTGGTCAGGCTCGCACGTGTCTCGCCTGCTTCTGCAAACCGTCTGGTGTTGTTCTTCTGTTTTGTTTTCTCCCCCCTCCCCCCTTCTCTGCCCCCCTCCAACCACGTGCCTGGTCCCACGGCGCCCTGTGCCTGACGGCTCCGCACGACAGCCCGAGAACCTGCTCCTGGCCAGCAAGTGCAAAGGCGCGGCGGTGAAGCTGGCGGATTTCGGCCTGGCCATCGAGGTGCAGGGGGATCAGCAGGCTTGGTTTGGTGAGTGGCAGAGCCCCCCTCTCCCCCCATCCTGCCCCGACTGTCCAGGACAGCCGTGCCAACGCGGTCTGTGCTCTGTTTTTTCTCCCCAGGCTTCGCCGGCACCCCCGGTTACCTCTCGCCTGAAGTGCTGCGCAAAGAAGCCTATGGCAAACCCGTGGATATCTGGGCATGTGGTAAGGGCCGGCGCCGAGAGACATAAACTCATAGACGGGAAGGCCAGTGGGAACCACTGTGGTCGTCTAGTCTGGCGTCCCGAATACACCCGGCCTGCCCTGCCGGGATCCCTGTTTGAACTAGGCCAGATGTAGAAAAACATCTAGTCGTGATTTCAAAATTGTCAGTGATGGAGAATCCACCAAGATCCTTGGGAGATTGTCCCCTGGTTAATTACCTTCCGCGTTAAACATTGGCACCTTATTTCTAGCTTCACCTTCCTGCCATTGGGTTGTGTTCGACCTTCCTCTGCTCTCACGTAGGTACTGGCAGACTGGGATCACGGCCCCCCTTAACCTTCTCGGTATTAAGCTACATAGATTGAGCACTGTGAGTCTCTCACTGGAAGGCAGGTGTTCTAATCCTTTAATCATTCTTGAGGCTCTTCTCTGCCCTCTGTCCAGCTTATCAATGGCTCAGGGTCAGGGATCTGCCAAGTCTCCTTCTCCCTGCCTCTGGGCTGCCTTCAGTTCTTTGGGACGGTCAGTGTTCACAGACCGGTAGTGGGCTGGCCTATTGGTTAGGGTGCTGGCTTGGGAGACATGGGTTCAAGTCTCACCACTGTCAGTCTCTCTCTGGCAAATCACTTAAGGCCAGATTGCCCAAGGTGTTTAGGCACCCAAAGACGCAGAAAAGGCACCGAGTGGGTTTTTTTAAGCAGGTTAGGTGCCTAACTGCCATTGGTGTTCCATTCCCGCCCGCATGGAGCCCAGAACGTTACTGTTTATTGAACTCTGTGTCCAAGATGCTGCATGAACCAGCCAGCCCAAATCCCCCAGTGGGCAGTTTGGATCCTAGTCCCTAACCCGTGCCTGATAACGGACGCTAAAAGCTGCCTCTGCCCCATGGCTCATCCTCTCCCTGGAGCCTTTGCTAGCCCCAGACCCCTCCTCGTCCTCCAGGGAGAGGAGATCTAGAGGCATAGACAGATGTCAGCAAGGGGGTACTGGAGGCAGAGATAGCAATCGGGCCCTGGTCAGGTCTAACCCCCTTGCTGCAGGCTCTCACTCCCATCCCGTGGTGGCCCCCTGGCATCCGGGCACTTTGCTGGGCACCTGCTCAGTGCCGGGGCTGTGCTCCTTCCCTGCCGCAAGTAGGGTGTGCTAGGGGGGGTGGGTAACCAGCAGCAGGTTGTCACGGAGTCCCTGGGCGATGCTCTGGAACTGCTCCCCATGAAGTCAGTCAGGACTCTGGGGCAGTCGCCTTTCTGTGAGCAGCCTGTCTTCAGGACACACAGCTCACACAGCTTCCACCTTCCTGGGTCTGACCTCGGAGCATTCAGCCTCCTCTGCCCCTCCGTGCGCTTCCCACAGCGAGTCCGCTCAGGCGGGGCTCCTGGGGAAGCCAGAGGGTCCTGCACCCCAACTTCGCAGTCAGACGTGACTCTCAGCCAGCCAGTAAAACAGAAGGTTTATTAGACGACAGGAACATGGTCTAACACAGAGCTTGCAGGTGCAGAGAACGGGACCCCTCAGCTGGGTCCATTTTGGGGGGCAGTGAGCCAGACAACCACGTCTGCACTTCACTCCATGTCCCAGCCAGCCCCAAACTGAAAACTCCCTCCAGCCCCTCCTCCTCTGGGCTTTGTTCCTTTCCCGGGCCAGGTGGTCACCTGATTCCTTTGTTCTCCAACCCTTCAGCTCTCACCTTGCAGGGGGGGAAGGGCCCAGGCCATCAGTTGCCAGGAAACAGGGTGTCGGCCATTCTCTGTGTCCAGACCCCTGCACACACCTGCCCTCTAGGGCTCTGCAATGATCAGACACCCTTACTCCACCCCCTAGATACTTAAGAACTGCCTAGGGGAAACTGAGGCACCCCCACACTATTCAGAGGAAACATTAAGAACAGTCCCACTTCGTCACATCTCTCCCCCCTTCGAGATCGAACTGAGCGGGGTCACTTTAGCCGGTGACCTGGGGAAGTTCGAAGCCACCAACGTTCCCATGGATGCCCCAGCATCTCTCCCATTCCTTGGTAGGAGTTACACCAGGCCCTTCCAGTTTCACGCCCTCCCTTAGGTCAGGGGTGGTCGATAGCACTCGCAGGCCGCATGTGGGAAGGTTTATGCAGCCCCTGCCCTTTGGCCACCCCAAGAATGTCTCCCCATTGACCATCACCTTCTGCTCCCACTGGAGGTCCGGGGGGCCTGGCCCCAGGAAACTCCACACAGACATACAGGTTGGGGTCAGGAGTGGGAGCCCGTCCACATCCCCAACCATCTGGCTGACGGAGTCTATGGCCTTGGGACCCAGCAAGGGAGCTAGACACCGGGGCTTTTCCGCAGGGTCCCCTTGGTTCAAATCTCCAGCCTGCTCAAAGGCAGTGAGGTGGGCATCCACACACCCCCCCCTTAACCAGGGGCAGCAATTTAGTCTCGAGGTTCCCTGCGGAACTGGCCTCCCGGGATCTATCCCCACTCACCCCGGGGAGGTCCCCTAGGCCTCTCCGCTCCCCCACCGCCAGTTCATGCTGCTGCTGCTTCTGCAGCTCTTTCTCGGGCTCTCGCTGTCTCCCATGGTCCTCTTGCTCTCTCAGACTCAGCTCCAATCCCGTCCGTCTCGATCCCCCGATGGGGAACCCGATCGTGAAGACCCCCGTCTGGTCGGGGACAGGAGTCTTGGCGATGCCTGGCTCCCACTCCAGCTGCTCCCAGATCCTGCTATAGCCCCAGTTGGGGTCAGGAATCTGTTCCTTAGAGCGGTCATCCTCGTCCAGCTGCACGATTAACTCTGCTTTGGTGAACTTTCCAACGCTCAACCCTCTCTTTCTGCACAGGGTTACAATGTCCTTCTTAAGGAGACGGTGACAGGCCATCACTCCGCTCCTCCCAAGTTGTTGTGGACTCACAGGCCCGTGTGTTCTCAGCTCCCCACGGTTTCCAGGGAGAACCCCTAGTGTGCCAGCCCTTCTCGAGGTCACCACCTCTTTGCCAGGGTCGAGCTGCAGACTCCTCCGCCCCTTGGACTGCTCACTGCAATCCCCAGGGGAACCCTGTTACTGCACAGTCCTTCTCGCTGGTCACACACTCCCAGGGGTTAACCGCCCCCCGAAACCGCTCCTCTCTGAGCCTTCAGCAGGCCTGGTCCTCGGCAATCCCCCTTCGTGTTACTGCTCCCCAGTCACTTACTGCAGGAAGCACCATCCACAGGGTGCAGTACATCCCACCGCTGCCACCAGTTGTCACGGAGTCCCTGGGCGATGCTCTGGAACTGCTCCCCATGAAGTCAGTCAGGACTCTGGGGCAGTCGCCTTTCTGTGAGCAGCCTGTCTGCAGGACACACAGCTCACACAGCTTCCACCTTCCTGGGTCTGACCTCGGAGCATTCAGCATCCTCTGCCCCTCCGTGCGCTTCCCACAGCGAGTCCGCTCAGGCGGGGCTCCTGGGGAAGCCAGAGGGTCCTGCACCCCAACTTCGCAGTCAGACGTGACTCTCAGCCAGCCAGTAAAACAGAAGGTTTATTAGACGACAGGAACATGGTCTAACACAGAGCTTGCAGGTGCAGAGAACGGGACCCCTCAGCTGGGTCCATTTTGGGGGGCAGTGAGCCAGACAACCACGTCTGCACTTCACTCCATGTCCCAGCCAGCCCCAAACTGAAAACTCCCTCCAGCCCCTCCTCCTCTGGGCTTTGTTCCTTTCCCGGGCCAGGTGGTCACCTGATTCCTTTGTTCTCCAACCCTTCAGCTCTCACCTTGCAGGGGGGGAAGGGCCCAGGCCATCAGTTGCCAGGAAACAGGGTGTCGGCCATTCTCTGTGTCCAGACCCCTGCACACACCTGCCCTCTAGGGCTCTGCAATGATCAGACACCCTTACTCCACCCCCTAGATACTTAAGAACTGCCTAGGGGAAACTGAGGCACCCCCACACTATTCAGAGGAAACATTAAGAACAGTCCCACTTCGTCACACAGGTCAGTGCTGGAAATTTAAAGCCACGTTGCATTAAGGCAGGAGAGAGGGAGTGGGGCCTGGAAGAGACGGGGGTTCCCCGGGAGATGCATGCTGGCAGCAGGCTGAGCAGAAACCCCCATATCCCTGCCTAAGTCCAGGTCTAGGCCCCCAGGAGCTGGCGGGCGCTGACTCTTTGCTCTCCCACCCCTCTCCCCAGGTGTGATCCTTTACATCCTGCTAGTTGGTTACCCGCCGTTCTGGGACGAGGACCAGCACAAACTGTACCAACAGATCAAGGCTGGTGCCTACGACGTGAGTACCTCCCTGCCCCCAGGTCCCAGAGCACTGCGACGGGGACCCACTGCCACGGGCCAGGAGTCCCGTACGCCACCGGCTTCGTCTCCGGCGTGTCAGCCTGCCCCTCTGGCTTCTCATTTGCCTCACCTGCTGCCGGACCTCGAATTGCTGGTGTCCCCCCAGCCGTAGGCCTGTGCTCAGCCCTTCCAGGGTAGGACACGTCCCTCTTCCTCCTCAGGGGGCTGACAAGGCTGTGTCCAGCCAGCCTCCTCCCACAGCCCACGCATCCCCCACGGCTTGCCCCTATCACGGTGCAGTTGCCCGGGCCCTGTCCACGATGCATATGGAGCCGCTCCCCCGCCATGTAGACAGCCTCCCAGAGAGCCCTGGGTGTGAACACGGGGCTAATGCAGGTTGGCGCTCACTGGACGTGCCCAGCCTGCGGGGATAGGATGTGTTTGAAACCGTGTTGACTAGCAGGACTCCAAGAGGACTTGTTCCCAGTGTAGACGGGGCCAGTGGGTTTAGGATTGTGTTAGCCGGTCGGGATCAGGCCCCGTGGCAGGGCCTGTCTGCGCCACGGGCTGGACTGGGGGGATCTTATGCTGGCGCGGGCGGGCATCATTTCCTGCCCAAGGAGCAGGGCCAGTGCAGGTCCATCTCCTCAAGCTGGAACCGACCCCCCTTTGCCGGAAAGCCGTTCTGTTACCGTCGGGGCTGGGAGGCTCGGGGAAGCCGTTTTCCATTACACCCAGAGACCAAGCAGGGGGTCTCAGTTCTTTGCCTGGGAGGGGCTGTGGCCCACCAGCCGTGCTGCAGGGTCGCGTGCGCTGTGGTTCCTGCGGTTCCTTGAGCCCGGAGCCGTGTGCCCGATGCTGCCACGCGGGGTCCACAGGAACCACACACAGAGAGCTCCATCCCGTCCCCACTCCCAGGCCCTCCTGCCCTCGGTCCCAGGCTCAGGGAGCCGGCCGCAGCCCAACAGAAGCCCGGCTGTCTGCACAATCCCCGTGGCAGGCCAGCACCTGCCGTGGGGCACGCTGACCAGTATGGTAACCCGCCCTCCTGGCTCCCTTGCAGACACTGGGCAGGGCAGCGGCACAGGGACCTGGCCGAGATTCCTGCCTTGGCACGACTCATTCTCCACGCACGTGGCAGCACAGAGGGACCCGGGAGCATCCGGACGCCCCATGCGAGCCGCGCTCCTGCAGCTGCCCAGAGCGCAGGTCCAGTGGGTATCTCTCCGCTCCCAATAGCTTGGTGGAATTCGGCAGCCTCTCCCCTCCCTCTCTTCCCCCCCTTTGCTGGTGCTTTCCTCACCCCTATACGCTTGGCCTCTTCTGCACGCACTTGGGGTCCGCTGGCGGGGACAGAACGACCGGGGCCCTGGGGAACAGTCTCTGCTCGTTTTTGTCCCCGCTGCCGGGGCACCTCCTCTTCCCTCTTGTTTGTATGGAATACGAGCGGGGTCCTCCGGATTGTACAGCGTCTGAACTGGCCGCAGGCTCCCCCTCTCGCTCCCGAATCCCAGCTTTAAACCGATTTCCCTTAGCAAGCCTATGGCTTGCGGGGGAACCCTCCAGAGCGCAGCCTGAATGGAACAGTGCAGCGACAGCCTGCAACAAGAGGTGTGAACAGCCCCCATTGCGCTCAGTCTATCCATTAACTCTGAAACCTAACAACGCACGTCCATACAGTTCACTGCCCGTCTACCAGCGGCAACATCCAGGCAATGTGCTTATCCCACAATCCTGCACACTCCCCGGGGGCAGAAACCCCTGCTGCCCCCTCTCCAGCAGCCAGAACCTCCAGCTTCCCCACACCCACAAAGCCTGCAGACCCGCCCCATGTGGCCAGCACCAGCGTCTGTGAGACGATGAAAACGCAGGGAACAAGGCGTTTAACCAGAAATAACTGTCGAGGCAAAGGGGCGGCAGCGAGGGTGGGAATGAAAGGTTCAAGGCAGGAAATCAAGTCTGGGTTTGCAGTCGCCCTGGATCGGCCACAGAGCTTCCAGCCCGCTGCTGTGCCAGGGCAGAATGCAGGTACCACTCACCTTGGAGCAGATGTGATAAGGCTGCGGGCAGCATCAGCCGGGCAACGGGATCTGGGCAGACTCTGGCGCTGGCTTTGGGCTGCCCTCGGGTTCCTGGGGGGTTGCTGGTGCCTTGGCTGCAAGTGGCCAGCTCCCCGCCCCCGACAGCCACGATCCCCTGCATTTAACCTTCCTGGCCCTTGTTTCTTGTCTGCAGTTCCCTTCTCCCGAGTGGGACACGGTCACCCCCGAAGCCAAAAACCTCATCAACCAGATGTTAACCATCAACCCGGCCAAAAGAATCACAGCCCATGAAGCCCTGAAACACCCATGGGTCTGCGTAAGTGCCACTGCTGCCCCGGACACAGCCAGGGAATGGGGCTGCTGGGTTCTCCCTTGCTTTACGTCTTCTCTGGGGCCACGCCCCTCTAGCTTGGTGTTGGGGGGATGGCAAGAGGGGCTGGCCAGGCCATGTCGATGGCTCCAGCTCGGGTTAGGCCATAGCTCAGGGGCTTTGGGACCAGCATCGTCCCCAGTGAACGGCAGCTGTCAACGGGCTCATCAGAACCTTGGCCGGTTCATCTCAGCCACCCGCAAGAATGTCCAGCCCGTTGTTTCCCCATCACCGAGTGAGCAGATGTTCCCCCGGCAGCGCTCTGAGCTCTGGGGCCAGCTTGCTGTCTCAGGGTATGTCTGTTGCGATGGAAGACCCCCAGCCCAGCCCGGACTGGGGACATGGGGCTCAGGCTGCGGGGCTATAACATTGCAGTGTAGACATTTGGGCTCGGGCTGGAGCCCGGGTTCAGAGATCCCGCAATGGGAGTGTGATGGTTCGGTCACAGAGACTCCCCTTGGGACTGTCACCTGATATGCTGAGATTACATCTGAGCCAGTTTTCTCTGCCAGTTTGGGCCTCCAGAACCCTGCCTTGTTGAGCCAGACATACTAGCCTGCTGCAACACAGACCCAGGGTCTGAACCACGCCCCCAAAGATGCAGACTTAACTGAAAACAGCTCAGCAAGTATTCCTGTCTCCAGCACCCAGACACCCAGCTCCCAATAGGATCCAAACCCCAAATAAATCTGTTTTACTCTGTATAAAGCTTATACAGGGTAAACTCATAAATTGTCCACCCTCTATAACACTGATAGAGAGATATGCACAGCTATTTTCTCCCCCAGGTATTAATTACTTACTCTGGATTAATTAATAAACAAAAGTGAGTTTATTAAGTATAAAAAGTAGGGTTTAAGTGGTTCCAAGTAATAACAGCCAGACCAAAGTAAGTTACCAAGCAAAATAAAACAAAACACGCAAGTCTAAGCCTAATACATTTAAAAAACTGAATAAAGATAAATCTCACCCTCAGAGGTGTTCCAATAAGCTTCTTTCACAGACTAGACTCCTTCCTAGTCTGGGCCCAATCCTTTCCCCTGGTACAGCCCCTGTTACTTCCAGCTCAGGTGGTAACGAGGGGGTTTCTCATGACTGGCAGCCCCCTTTGTTCGGTTCCACCCCCTTTTATAGCTTTGGCACAAGGCTGGAATCCTTTGTCTCTCTGGATCCCCACCCTTCTTCTAAATGGAAAAGCACCAGGTTAAAGGTGGATTCCAGAATCATGTGACATGTTCACATGTCCCTGTGAGAGTTCATTACCCACTGGCCAGTAGGTACACAGGCAGGCTTACAAGTAAACAGAGCCATTTACAGGTCACTGATTCTGAAGCACCCTTAATGGCTTCCATTTAATATGTTAACATCAGTGATACAAGTTTATCTCTTATTCTCCTAACTCCAGACATAGAAATAATACAGGCAAACAAATGGGATGAACGCACTCAGTAGATCCTAAACTTCGTAATGATGCCTTACAAGAGACCTTTTGCATGAAGCATATTCCAGTTACATCATATTCACACTCATAAACATATTTCCATAAAACATATGGAGTGCAACGTCAGGGAGGCTCCCAGAATGTCTACACTGCAATTTGATAGCCCGGCAGCCCAAGCCCTGCAAGCCTGAGGCAGCTGACCCGAGCTGAGACTCGGTGCCTTGGGGTTTTTTTATCGCCACGTAGATGTACCCCGAGGGTCTGTCTGTGCTGCATTGTAACTCTGGGTCTGGGAGACCCGGGCTTGTGTTTCCAAGCTTGTGCAGGAGCGGCCACACTGCCAAATGACAGTGAGTAGGGTTTGGTCCTAGGATCCCGGCCCTGAGTGCTCGCTGGTCCAAGTCAGGCTGATTTGTGTGTGGACAAAAGCGGGAGTCGGGCTCAAACCTGAGTCCCACTCGGGCTTAGTGTGCAGCGTAGACAGACCCTTGGAGCTTTGTCACTGATCTGGTGGGACAGGATCCGGGGTGCCCAGTGCTGGTGGCCTGCCATATCGGCCGTGTTATGGCACCTGTGGTCCCAAGCCAGGACCAGGCCTCTGGGGGCACTAGGGGCATATCTGGGTGGGGCAAGACCCTGCTGGCTGAGCCGTTTCTCCAGCCCCCCATCCCATTCCCTCCCCTGACCACACTCATTTTCTGGTGCCGAGGCAGAAGAAACTGATTTCTCGCCCCCACCTTCTCTCCTTCAGCAACGCTCCACCGTGGCCTCCATGATGCACAGGCAGGAGACCGTAGAGTGTCTGAAAAAGTTCAACGCCAGGAGAAAGCTCAAGGTAAATGCCCCTGCGGAGCCCTCGGGCCGGACTCTCCTGAGAGCCACGGCAAACAGACACGGTGGGGTCGGGCTGGGGCTGAGGTCCCCACTGCCCCGGGGGCCCCACGATCTCTGCTGCTCAGCCAACAGCCCCAGAAAGGAGCAGAGGCTGCCTGCCTCATTAGCATGGCACATCCAGGGCATAGCATGCCCCGGCGTCTCCCCTGCAATGAGAATTCCTGTGCCAGTGGGTTCGTGCCCAGCCTGGGCCGCGAGCCTGGCCGCACCACAGAGCTTGGAGCCCTGCAAGTCCTCTCCCGGTGCTAGCAGCTGGAGAATTGGTCCCCTCCCAGCGGGGGACTGGCTACCTTTCCCCCAGCTCCTAGCCCTTCCCTTGCGCCTGCCCGTCCTGGGGGAGTGGAATGGCCCCGCCTGCTTCGCACGTTGTCTGTTGAGTGCACATTGCAATGGCAGGGTAAGTCCATTGCCCCCGGAGAGCCCAGCGTCGGGGGGGGGTTCCAGCTCCCACTGTTTGTGTAGCCCCCGCCTGTACAGGTGGACGGGCCTGCTTAACAGAGGTGGAGCTGTTAGCTCAGGCCGGACTGGCTCATGCTTTAAGGTGCAAAGGTGCCAGGTTTGGTTGCCCCCTGGCAGGCGGCTAGAGGGGACAGGGTGGTAGCTGGCGAGGGCTGGTTTCTCTAGGGGGTATAACGCCCAGCGGGACTCGTGGCCTGGCTTTATGAGCGGAAGGATACGCAGGAGAGTCCCAGGACCATGGGCCGTTCTGTGAAGTAGCCAAGCAGGAGGAAGGTCTGATGACCGTCGTGTGGCAGGACCCATGGGAACTGTGCCTGTACCCCTCCTGTGTCCCGCAGCCCCCCCAGCTCCTGCTGCTAAGTGAGAAAATCCCCATGGGGCCAGAGGGGCCAGGATTTCACCCAGGGTCTCCAGACCCCGCCGTGTCCCTTACAGGCCAGTGCCACGCGTCAGAACCTCAGGGGTTCTGGAGCGTCGGCCCCCCACGGAGGAGAGAGGGAAGAGTCAGGGGAGGATCTGAGGGGAGCAAGGAGCCAAGGCCGGCTGTGCTCTGGGAGGAGGGGGGGCCGTGCTGCGGCCAGTGGAGTCCCACGGGCGGATGTGCAGCAGATTCCGGCCGGGGCAGCGCATTGGCAGGGAGTTACCCCCAGCCTCTCAGGATGTGCTCCGGGGAGCCGCGCCCTGAGCGTGCCCGGGCTCACCGCCTCGGGACTGGCGTGACTTCCCACCATCCCGGGCTCTGCTGCGAGGGGGGCCAGGGCGTCAGCCCCGCGTCACGGGTGGGAAGCCGGGGCTCAAGGAGCTCACGGGGCTTGCCCACGGTAGGCCACGGCGGAGCAGACCAGCAAACCCAGCATCCCCGTGCGCTAGGTATACTTCCCCACTTGGCCACACCCCTCCTCGTGCGTCCAGGGGGCAGCGCCCAGGTGATCGGCGTCCTGGCCCCGCTCAGGCCAGCTGCCTGTCCCTCCATGGTCTCCAGCACTGTGCTGTACCAACCCCTGGCTCTTCTCTTCCAGGGGGCGATTCTCACCACCATGCTGGCCACGAGGAACTTTTCGGGTAAGAGCTCGGCTTGGCTTCGCGCTGCAAAGAGCCGCGCGTCCCAGTGCTTGCCCCCGAGGTGCGAGAGTGACCTCAGCCCCCATCGGGACCAAGGCCACGTTCGCGGGAGGCGCGCGCCGCCGGGATTCCACACCAGAAAGGCACAGCCTGAGCGGCATAGCTGGGCTTGTACCAGTTCCGCGAACCGTTCTGGCACCATCCCCCTCTGTGTCCCTCCCTCCGCGCGGGCCCTGGCAGGTCTCGGACGTCACCTGTCTCTGAGCCGGGACCCTGGTGAGCGGGGGTTTTAAGGCTCCCCCGGCTCCCTGCCTTCCACTGTGATATGCGACCGAGGCAGTGTGCCTACCAGCCGGCCCTGTTCTCTCCGAGGGCTGTGAATGGGCTGTGGCCAGCCATCACAGGTGACCGCCCCGTGCTTTCCAAGCAAGCCCCTTTGTTCTTAAGGCAAAAGCATCGCAGAGAGAACCTAGAAAAACAATACAATTTAACCACACACGAAGCATCCTCCATCGGTCTGGGGGGGCGGGGCCCATCTTTCCAACCCTCCTGCAAGGATTGCGGCCCCCTTGGACAGATTGGCCCCTGTCTGTGTGCCGTATCGGAAAGAAGGCCCTGCGTTAGTTTAAATACACCCTTTTTACTCCCAAAGCCCCTTCTTCGTGGGTCTCTGGAAAACCCAGTCTGTGCCACCCTCCCCAGCGGTGACACCTCTCTGGAGGTGTTTACAACCTGGTTGACCTTAATCACCCCCCCCACACACACACACACTGGTTTGGGTTCCTGGAGGAGCCATGGTAACCTCCCTCCCTGGAGTGGCATACAATCCCTCTCCCACAGCGCTACATAAACTCGCTACAGTGTGGTCCCCGAAGACATGGCATGGGGTCGCTGCAGGCCCCAGGCGAACCAAGCGATGCTGGCAAAAACACAGCTTTGCCGATACCACTGCATCGGCACCAGAGCTGCTCTGCCGGTCAGGGAATCGCTGCTCTTACACCCTGACCGGCAGAGCTGTGAAATCGGTAGTGTCGACCTGTGCTGAAGAGTTCCCAGCGCGGCTTAGAGCTGGACGCAGTCCACGCAGCTGCCGTGGCCAGCTAACCTCGGCCTTAGAGGGCAACATCTTCTCCTGAGCGGTGCCGGTTTGGTGATGTGGGGAATTGGGTATAGAGCTGAGAACTACAGAGCTCATGTCACCTGTGCCTGGCTAGCCTCGGTACACAGGTGCCCAGTGCAGAAACCCATTGTGCCCTGGGCAGGTCTGCGCTAAAGAAGTCCCTCTAGAGCCCACTGTTAACATTTGCACGGAGCTGCCTTGCACACCAAACAGTGGAGGCGTCTAATCGGGATGCCGCCGGGCGCCTGTAGAAATGCAGACGTGCCCGGGTATGTTTCAGGGGAGAGGTGGATGGATCTGTGTCTCTTTCAGCCATTGCAATCCTGTTTTTGTCAATTTCATGGCACAGCGGATCCTCACCTCCCAAATATCCTGCCAGCAGAGTGCTCCAGGGGAGGGGGCTGGTGGGGAAGGGGCATGCCCCTGCCCGCTGGATGTCCCTGAGAATGCTGCTCTAATGCGTACCCTTCCCTCCTGGTCTTTCCTTCCTCGGTTGGCACCCAGTATCAGCTGAAACCGACTGCCTCGGGCCCCTGCTACTGCCCCTGTCTAGCGGAGTGAGGAGAAACATCTACATCCTTAAAAGGAACAAGGCGGGGGGCAGCTGAGTAGATCCCTCAAGCAGGACATTTTGGTTTCTCTTCCGAGGGGCCGTGGCTTAACTCTGCAGCACCCAGGCCGAGAATTCAGCTTTCCAGGGTCATGGCCAAGCGTCACTTAGCAAGTGGGACAAGAAAGGCTAAGAGATAAGCACCCATTGATGGTATCACAGGGATTCAAAGCCCCCACTGGGCTGGGGGGGCAACCTATGGGCATGGGGCTCCAGTGCCCTGCCCCGTGCATCCCTCAGGATCTCAGAGTTGGCGTCTTGTGCGAGAATCCCTTCTCCCATCCATGCCACACGGCACGGGGTTGCGGCTCCTTGGCTGGGATGTTCCCTGACGTCTCAGCGACCCTAGCAGGGCCTGGCAGGGTGGGGGGGGCTGCTGCTGTGTGGCCGACCCTCCATACCACCTCCGGGAGTAGCTTCCCCGCTGGGCACAGAGGGTCTGTCTCTGCTGCAGTTAAACACCCGTGGCTGGCCCGTGTCAGCTGCCAGGCTTGCCGGGCAATACAATTGCAGTGTAGCCATTCGGGCTGGGCTCGGAAATCTGGCGAGGGGGGAGGTTGAAAGCTAGCTCCAGTGTCTCCATGCAGGGCCCCCTGCCCCCAGGCATTGCGGGGGGGACGTGTCCCCAGCCATGGCTCTAGACCGGTCGCCCCGTGGGGCATATGGAACAGGGGCTCAGCTACCAGCAATCTTGCCTCTCCATCTAAACTTTAACTCTAATCTTTTTTTCTGCTTCCTTTGTCTCGTTTCTTTCCCTTTCTCTCCCGCCCTCCGCCTGTCTCGCTCCCTCTCTCTGTCTTTCTCTGTCTCTCTCCCCCCACCCCGACCGCTCTCCTTGTCCCTCCGTTTCCTACCCTGGTGCTGACAGTCGGCAGACAGACCACCGCTCCCGCCACAATGTCTGCAGCCGCCTCCGGTGCCACCATGGGGTTGGTGGAACAAGGTAGACGTGTCCTGAAGGGACCCTCCCCGCTTCCCCCCTCTTCTCCCCCCCCCCCCCCGGAAATCTGAGCGCATGCAACTTCATCCATCATTAACACCGCATCCCCAACCAGCGCCCAGAACCGGGGGCAAACGCAGCCGGGTCTGCTCTGAGGAAGGGCGCCGGGCACTGGAGGAAGCTCCGGTTTATTCCAGCAGTGATTTTAAAAGGTCCAGGGGAAAAGAGGATTACAAAGTGGAATTGGAAAATGTGTAGGGGTCTGGAACGGCTTCTGTATGAGGAGTGAGTAAAAAGCTGGGACTGTCTATGATAGAGGTCTGTAAAATCTTGAATGGGGGAGAAAGTGAATAAGGAAGTGTTATTTACTCCTTCTCCTACCACCAGAACCAGAGATCACCCGATGACATTAGTAGGCAGCCGGTTTAAAACAAACAGAAGGAAGTACTTTGTCACACAACGCAGTCAACCTGGGGAACTCCTTGCCAGGGGATGTTGTGAAGGCCAAAAATGTAACTGGGTTCAAAAAAGAATTAGAGAAGTTCCTGAAGGATAGGGCTGTCCATGGCTATTAGCCACGGTGGTCAGGGACACAACCCCATGGTCTGTATGTCCTTAAACCTCTGACTGCCAGAAGCAGGGCCTGGATGACAGGGGTTAGAGCACTCGGTAAATTTCCCTGTTTTATTCATTCCCTCTGAAGCACCTGGCACTGGCCGCTGTCGGAAGACAGGATACTGGGCTAGGTGGACCATTGGGCTGACCCAGTCTGGCCATTCTCATGTTCTTATTTAAATTCCACGTCACTGAAATTGGGCCTCTCGTCCCTGGGAATCATATCTCAGATGGCGACCAGGATCGACGGGGGAGAAGCCCAGGGCCCTGGCCACACTTTAAAAGCCAGCCTTGTACATGCGGGTTGTAAGGGCACATGGCTCTTTCATTGCCCCCATGGCCGAGGGGGAAGTGCCTCTTTTGAACCCCCTGCGTTGACGAAAGCCCTGAAATATTTATGTGCAAGGCGGGACACCTGGTGGTCAGAGTCAGGCACTGCAAGTCGGGAGTAGAGGGACTCCACTTCAAAAGTGCCTAGTTCACTTAGCAGCATCTGAGTAAAATCTTCATCTGGGCCTCAGTGATTTAGGAGCTGGAGTCCAATTCTCAGAAGTGACTTAGGCCTTGAGAGGAGGCTAACTTTCATTGAAATCCAGTGGGACGTAGCATCCTAAGTGACTCAGGGCCAGATTTGCAAAGGTATTTAGGCCCCTAGAAATGCGGAAAGATGCCTAAATCCCTTTTACAACCTGGCCCTTTTGAAAATTTTACCCGTAGCTTCGCCTCATGACATCAGGCAAATCTCTCTCTGTGCCTCAGTTTCCCCATTAGTAAAATGGGCACCCAAACCCTCCCCACCCTCTGGCATGTGGGTTCCTGGCTGTAGTCTAAGAGCCAGCTCCTACTGATTTATTCATTCATCAAAGCCAGCAACGCGGCAGTGACATCCTCCTCCATCTCTCTGTCATGCTGCGCTCAGCGCAGGGCTCTGTGTTCCCTTTGGCAGGAGTTAAAGCCCGTCCCTTTCGCACACAGGGCAGGGAGCAGCTGCTGGTGAAATCATGGCGGGCGGGGGCGGGGGTGGTGGTGTAAAAACCTGAACTCAGGGCTTGGCAGGGTACGGAAGGTGGAAATGGGCTCTGGACTCTGTATTTTAAATACCAGCCTTTGCAGTCCTGGCTGATTGGTTTGGGAGCATAATCAGCTGTGCGTCTCCCCTTTGAAACAAGCCAATCCCTTGGCTGTTTTCCTGCCATGCACAGAGCCCAGGGCACAATTGTACTGGGGTGGCTACGCTGGCTGTTTTTAGCTCAATTAAAGCCAGCTTGCGGATGCCTACCCGTGCTGCTGTCCCACCTCCTGACCGCAGTGCGGACATCCCCGGCCCCTTTAGGCGCTTGTGATCGGTCCCTAGAGCAGGGAGAGGCGAGGGCCATGCATGCCAGCTGCAACCAGTGTCAGGTCTAGTTGCGGACCCTCTTGCATCTTCCAGGCTGTTGGCCTCGCATCCTGCACCAATGGCTTCTCAGGGCAGCGAAGGCCCAGCTGGCTTTCCCAGCGCGCCCAGAGATTCTGTTCCCGACGTGGGATTGGAATTCGTCGGTCGGTTTGCCACGGCAGCCGCATTGGGATTCCTCCCCCAGCGAGGGATTTCCACAGACAGGGGCCGAAACAGGAAGCTGCCCCTTTAGCTGAGTGGCTTGACCAAAAAGCCCGGGGAGCAGGCAGGCGGATCGCAAGCACCGCCCCCAGGCACAGCGACAGAGTCGCCCATCCCACTTTGGTGGGCGATTGTGTGGTTCGTACCGAGAGCAGACAGCGGATAGGTGCTGGGTGCGCGTCATGACTGACATTCACCCTGTGCAGAGGGTCAGCCCGAGGTGCCCCCCAGACGCACTCCCAATCTTCAGAAGACGTCAGCGGGGCCTAGACCCACGGTGGCCCTCGCACGGGGCGAGAGTCACTGGGGGAGCGTTTCAGGGAGCAAGGGGGGAGAGCAAAGAGCACACGTTTGCTTTGTGGCGCTGTATTAAAACGTAAAGACTGGAGCTGAAGAAAGTTCCTTTCAGAGGAGATCTCCCTCGTGCCAGGGTCTGGGGGCATCCCCTGCCTGGCAGTCAGGGGGGTAAGTTCCCAGCGGGGCTATAGCACAGGGAACGTCTCCAGTGTAGCGATGTAAGTCTGGTGTACCGCCCCGCCCCCCAGTCATGGTGAAGCAGAGCCTCTGGGTAACCTCTACAAGGCTCCTAAGTCACTTAGGGCCCAGATCCTCCAAGGTACATAGGTGCCTGTCTCCCACTGATTGCAGTGGATGTTAGGCTTTGAGGGTCTGGGCCGCGGGAGCCTGAAGCCCACTGACTTTCTGTGGGACTCGGCACGTCTGAAAATGAGGCTCAGATGAAATTGGCCAAGCACCCAAGTGATTTAGGAGCCTCACTCTCATTTTCAGAAGCCCCGCAGACGCCTGGGAGTCCGTGTCACTGCCAGTCAATAGGGTTTTGGCTCCTAAACAGAGGCGTTTGAAAATTTCCCCTCTATTCATTTCCAAATGGGGTTTAAAAGGGGTTTGGGGCCCTTTCTTGGTACGTGTGGGGCCTGGAGATGGGCTCTGACATGGGCCCATTTGCCTTCCTGCATGAAGTTTCTGCATGAAGCTCGCCTGTCTCCGGAGCACGGAGTTAAAGGAGGTGTTGGGGAAACACACCTGAGCGTGCCCGGGGCTGTCCGGAAGTGGCTGGGCTGACTGGCTAGTCTAGTGAAAGGAGACAGCTGGGGATAAGTGAGAGCTTATCCATATGGAGGGTCTGCGGGCATTCAGACAGGCTTCCCCTCCTCCCCCCGTGCCACCTCCATCCCAAAGGTTCTTCCTTGTGAATGCTGGCTCTCTGCTTGCCACGGCCTCCCGCCCGCTCCTCCCCCTGGCCTTGCCTGGAGGTTGAACTTGGTGAATGATGCATGAGGTTGTGTGACCCAAGTGCATGGTCCAGAGCCTTGTCCGGTTTAATCTGTCCACCCAAAAGGGAAGTGGGGCTCTTTGCTTTGTGTCCGCTGGTGCCCGCCCTGCATGCAGGAGTCTGATCTGCATGGTAGAGACAGAAACTGACCCGCCCGAGCCTGTCTTAATGTCCATGCAAAACTCCGGCCGGGATCCAGCCAACAAATCCAGTGGAAGGGGCACGGGTCCCACTGTGTCCGGCACCAGTTGTAAGCCTGTCCCCTCAGAGCAGACTGGTGCTGGCATTACCTGCATCTGCTTTAAGAAGAGGCCTCTGAATCTCCATGCAGATGTTAGTCCGCAGGGATTCACAATGAACTTGAGGCTGGAAGCTTGCAAGGCGAGAGACCCTGCCTCGTGTGGCTATGGCAGGGCTCAGAGGGGCACGTGGGAACCGCCTGTGACTAAGCAGAGGCCGGTGAGCGGGGGTCATTTAGGGTGGCACCCAGGGGGGTTATATTAGGGGGCTGTAATGAAATCCATTTAAAATTGATCCGGTTACACCCGTGCGACCCCTGAACGGAGATGCATCTAAATTGCTGGCCCTTGCCCGTAAACAGATTTTGCTTGGTGTGGAAAGCTGCTGTCACTCTCCTGACCCCGAGAGCTGCCCTGTCAGCTTTGACAAGGCGAGTTTGAGAAGAGAAAGGCTCCGAAGGCTCAATGGCTGACACCAGAGCAGCTCCCGACTCTCCTGCCCTGCTTGCGTCCTCTCTGGAGTCTCTTCCCTTCCGCCACCAACACCGTTCCAGCCCCTGGTGCCCCCATGGAGCCGGCAGCAGGTGGCCAGAGCGGGGCTGAGCATGCCCGGGCTGTTCGTACAGCAGCCAGGAGGACAAGTGAGCGAGTCGCACGAGGTTCTCCACGGGGGGAAACAATCCGTGTTGTGCTGCGGAGAGGGGCCCGGGAGTTTGGGAAGGACTGGTACCGTCAGCGTCCTAGCAAGCTCTGCAGAAATGGAGCTGCGACACCTCGAGGGGAGCGGTGGGGTTTCTGGCCTCGGCGGGACTGGTGCTGCTTAGCTCGGCATGGCGGAATAGTAGATCTCCAGATTTCACAGGAACATGGGCCTGAAGCGAGTTTGGGGCCGCTCCCAGCTCCGGGATCCTAGACCAGGCCTTGATGGGAAGCAATTGGTGCTGAATGCCCTGTTCCTCTCTTCTCCAGGGGGATCCACAACCTGTGACCCCCCCATTGCTGTCCTGCCTGGTGCTGCTCCCCCAGCAGACGCCCTGGCTCTGATGCGCCGGCTCCTCGTAGGCATGGCTGGCAGTTGCTCTGATGGGTTAAGCGAAGGGTCCCTTTGCTCCTCATCTTACATACCATCCTCCAGGACATGGAGAGTGGCTGCAAGTGCCTTCTGGCCCCTCCGCCCGCGAGGTTCATCTCTACCCCACTCCCTGCTTTGTCTCCTTCCATCCTCTCTGTCTCCAGACGAGCCTCGCCCACGATG